GCTCCTGACTACGGCAGCCGTAATGCTCCGAAAATCCATCAGGCGGTGTAGCTTCGTAGCTTAGCAAAGTCGTACTAAAACATTTTTTGACAGATTTTTGAGCGCCATGTACCACATAAAATCGGTTTGAGAATTCATACATAAGACGCACTGTCGATTTTTGAGAAAATTAAAGGCTTTTAAGTGCGCCTTATAGTGCGGAAAATACGGTAGCTAACACTTGCGATCGCTGTTACCAAGCTTCATCCATACTGTATGAGTCACAAACAAACGAACATGTAGAAGATTCAACTTAGTTATAAAAAATAATTCATTATGGAGGTTTTGATTAACTGTGAAGACCACAATAATTTTTTGTACCTGACTGGAAAACTGTTTACCTCGACTGTAGGACTGTGCATTTTAACATTAAAGTCTATGTGGATCAGCTCACTGGAGTCAGCCTCAAGTGGCCTTTACAGGAGCTGTTATTTCTGCATTGGCTTTATTTGTCAACCACGAGGCGGACACTTGTTTATGTAAACCACTGAATCAAATTTAAAGACAACTGCAGCCAATGACACTGATCCTATGGATGCAAATAGCTTAAATTGACAAAGCATTAGAATACACACTCTGTCATCTTTTGAAGTTAAAAGTCCTTGAACTCAATAAATTGGTGAAAGCCATTCAAACCTGGCTGCTGTGGAGCACTGGAATCTCAACGAGTGATAAAGTGGGATTTGTCACATTATGCTTGATGTGCTCAGCCAGAACAGGCCTGAACAGTGAGGAGTTTCTATATTCATACAAGTTTGGATTAACAAGAATGATTATAATCAGGTTTCTTGCCTTGAAATTAAAGTTTATAATACAAAGAATAAACTTTAGAGTTTGATGTGTTTGCAAGGCCGTTCTGTGTCAAAATGATTTTTTTTTGTTTGCATTTTGCAGCAGGACAAATACAAAAAAAGTCTGTTATAGACAAAGATCATGTATAATTCATGTGTCGCTGTCAGATTGGATACCGCAACCTCGACCATGAATGCTAAAGTGAAAATGAGTGTGAAAAAATGTGCTGAAATTAATGAATCATTAAGGAAACAAAGCTGGTCGAGGGTGGCTTTGTTTTTAACAAGCGGCACACTTCAGTGGGGTTTACGGCTTTTGCCCAGCGGAGCTGCAGCCTTGTTGAGCCAGAGCCCGTCAGGCTCACAGGAATATTTATAGTCTCATTCACCAACACAGTGCAACTTACTACACTTGTCTCACAGAACATAAAGTGACAAGCAGAACAGTTACTTAAAGAGAATTACTCCCTGCAAATTGATCCATGTAACCCCTTTTAATGTTTATTCTGTTGCCAATATCAGACTGCCTCCAACTCTGCAGCTTAGAGAAGACCTAAAAGTGTTTTCTTTGATTTCACTTCATCTGCAATATTTGATTATTTTGTAATGAAGAGATTTTTTTGCACTGCTTTACACCAGAGATCATTAGGATGACAAACATCTCTTGGTTTGGTGTTTTTTGGTATTAATTTCTCTAATTTTACATGTCAAAGCCAATTGGGGAAGTACTACTGCTGTGCTGGTGAAATACTTGTTTAATGTGTTTGGTGGCTCTGGAGGAGTTTTTGTTTACTCGAGTGACATTGCTTGAGAAATGATTGGTCTCCACAGAGACTGTAATTACAGAAACACCGCATGAAAACCTGGCCGTCTGGGGGTTTAATGATGTGGGCTTTTACAGAGGGGGGGCTCTAAAATACTGATGCAATCATGGGAAACATTGCTGTTTAACATGGGAGTCATACTGCCATAGACTAATGGCCCATTTCCATTGAAAAAACTGTATACAAAAGATGGATGTAGCTGACATGACATCACTGCCTGGTATTTCTGATTACCATATTTTTCAGACCATAAGGAGCATTAAGCGAAACAAAACAGTCAGATAAGTCAAACGTTACTCAGCTCCTTCTTCTTGCTTCCTCCTCTTCCGTACCATTGATTCATTAATGCTGAATCCTCTCACAGCTGCTCTGTTTCCATGTTGTTGCAGTATATTAATGACTAACCTCGTATTGTGGATG